TCATATGATAAATGATAGAAAATTCTGCATAAATATTAACAAGAAAACTATTAATATTTGCCCTGTTATTGTCGTGCATTTAAAAAATGTATATGTGTCTTAAAAGCAACTCATTTGAATGTGAAATTTTTATAGTTTAAAATTAGGGAATTGGGCTTATTTGGAATCATTTGTTCAAGATATTTTGGAAACAGTTAGGTCAATTTCTAGATTTGCGCAGTGTCCAACAGATACAAATCACTCATTAGTAAATATTTGAAAAGATGAAATGCTTTGAACTTCTTGTCTAAAATTGCTTCCATCATCAATGATTCGAATTGTTTGACAAAAAAAAAAAAAATGCTTCTGAGCGAATAAAAAAACAACATAAAGAGCATCAATTAGTTTTTTGCATGACAGAAAGTTTCTCGGTTACAGTTAATTAATTAACAATTACGGTTGATCGTATTGCTTATCATTTTTTCCTGTTGATAGTTTTTGCGTAAGCTCTTTTTACCGTTAAAATTTGCTCGTATCATTTACGTTTGCTTCTTGTCACGCACGCGTTCGATATGAAATATTTATTGGTCGTAATCTATTAGAAATTTTCGTGCCAAAAAAAAAAAAAATTAAGTCAGCAGAAAATTAAGATTAATTCATGTTCAGATAAAATCATAAATTTTACGTTGAAAGCGAATGAATGAATGAATAGATAGATAGATAGGGTGATAGAAAGATAGCAAACAATGTTACATTATCAGAAAAGGGAATAGCGACTTTTTCGTTATCGTATTGATCATTTTGTTTAAACATTCCATCCTTTCTTTCATACACTGGAAAACTCATAAAAATTGGAGTATTTATTAGGAAGGCCATTGATTAAACATTACAGCAATGTTGGATGGAGGAAGAGAGGAGAGAGGTCACCATCATTCATTAATCTTCTCGTGTTGGACAAATAGATAGTAGCCCTTCATTTCTTCCAACCTTTTTCTCTCTCTCTCTCTCTCTCTCTCTCTCTCTCTCTCTCTCTCTCTCTCTCTCTCTCTCTCTCTCCTCATTTTCCTCTCTTTTCACTCTCATATATTCAGTTTTGATCAGTTGGAAACTTATATTTTCTCCATTTTTTGAATTTTCAATAACTAATTTCTGAATTTTTTTTTTTAAAGAACTAAAAAAAAGAAAAAAAAAACTGTTTTTTTTAAGGAACTAAAAAAAAGAAAAAAAAACTGAAAGAGAAAAACAGACATGTTTGCTCTCCATATGTATGCTCATTCATTTTAACTATCATTCATTCAATAGCCTTATTCCTCCCAATAACTAGCACTGATGTCATATCTAATTTTACATCTTATAATTTGCTATGAACATATTGTTACCTCTATAAATTTCAAATTTATCTGATTTTTTTAATATTTCTAATTAGATAAAATTTCCTTTTCATTCATTACATAATTTTTTCTTTTCTACATTTTACTGATGTAAAACTGTAATGATTTTTACTGTTTTGCTGTCTTTAATGCATCTTCTCGTAAGTTATTTTCGAATTTTTGAACTGCTAACATGATAGCAACATGAAACCAGCCGTATCTTGTTTGGATCACTTTTCTTTCTCGATTGCCGAACTCAAGACAACTTTTATTATTTGCTGACTTGGCTCAGATTTATGCTTACGATTTTAATGTTGGATTGGTCGGTTCGTAATCCGGCTAATGCTATAATGTTTGATGACCGCTATCGTGTAAGCTTTATATTGATGTTTTAAAGGATTGTATATATTGTATTAGATGTCACATGTTGAATGCATAAAAGACTTCAGGAATGTCTGTATATAATTTTTTGTTTGAACTAACCTGATGACGAACTAATCATCGATTTATTAATTTTTTTTATTTTAATGCCAGTAGATGCAGTTTACTTTTATTCATTGCAGGTTTAATACTGCTGCTACTTCTAGTATAGCAGATAAGTGGATCTAAATGAATAATGACTGTGAAGATGGTGGAAGTGGTGATTTTGTAGAAAATCGATCTCGTGAAGGAATTCCGAAAGCCGTTGATTCGTCAAAAAATACAAAAGGTGTAAGAATATGGTGTGATGGATGGTTAGTACTTATCTCGTTTGCATTATTCGGATGCGATGATAAAACAATTAAGTAGGGAAGCAAATGAATGCTTAAATAAGTAAGTAGTAGAAATACATGAATAAATCAATGATTATTTATAAGCATTAATTTATTTATAGCTACGACATGGTGCATTTTGGTCATGCAAATCAGTTACGACAAGCCAAACAGTTTGGTGATTATTTGATTGTCGGTGTACATACTGATGAAGAAATCGAAATGCATAAAGGCCCACCAGTGTTCAGTGAACAAGAACGATACCGCATGGTTCGTGGTATAAAATGGGTTGATGAGGTAAGTTGTCACACTTTTTGTTAATTTCCTAAGTCTGATACATTTTTATTTGGTGCGTTATTATTTATATTTCCATACATAAATACTCCCACAGTTTGGCTTTGATTTTCAGATTGTTGAAGGTGCACCTTATGTGACGACAGTTGAAACACTCGATAAGTACAATTGCGATTTCTGTGTTCACGGTGGTAAGCGTCATGTAATGGCTCTGTTGCTAAAACTTTATAGTCTCGGAACATATGTGTATGATTTTGAAATTTAAATTGAAGTAACGATACAGTATAAAGGGACATTTATTCATACTTATTTAAGGAATATAGAAAAAGCTTGTAGAAAGTGAAATATCAATGATGAAGTAGCGTATTACTCATTCTTAAATTAGGAAATGAGAACGATTTGTTCTGTTTCAATTCCGAGATTGTAGAATATTATGTTATTCTTTTTTAGACGACATCACATTATCTGCAGATGGTACTGATACATATGCAGATGTCAAAAAATGCGGACGTTATCGCGAGTGCATGCGAACGTCTGGAATTTCTACTACGGTAAGAGAATTACAGACTTTTATGGTATGTAAGTATTATGTCGATATAGCTATCGTTAAAAAGCTATATATATATGTGAAAATTTTCAGGATCTGGTTGGACGTATGTTACTGTTAACAAAAACTCATCATTCATTTGCAGATGATATTGCTAAGCATGAAGAGAGAGCTCGATTTCTCTCCACGGTCTGTGCTGATTTTCATGCATTCTTTTTCTGTAGAGTACCGCAGAATGTCTTAATTTTAGTTATTCTGTTTCTGTTTCTATCATTGCACAAATTAATTTATCCAATAACTGTGTGATATTGCGTCAGTAACTGCTATTTGTGGCTTTTTTTAAATTGCTTTAATCAAAAAGTTCTGTAACCTAATTCTTGTATGCTTAAATTTGCTCTATATCCACGTATGTTACTGTTCAAGGATCGAAAAGCCGTATCACCTTGGACGAGGGTGTCTCGTTTTCTGCCATCAACGCGAACAATCATGCAATTCGCAGAGGGTCGTTCACCCGGAGAACACGACGTTATTGTGTATGTGTCCGGTGCATTTGATTTATTTCACATCGGTCATTTATGTTTTTTGGAAGAAGCACGGAAATTGGGTGATTATCTCATTGTTGGGATTCACAATGATCAAGTAAGGAAAGTCTTTTCAATAATGAGAATTACAATTTAGAAATTGAATGTTTGAATAATAAAAAATATCTATTCACTGTACTCTTTCAGTATCCTTTCAATTAGAGGATTAATATAATTCGTTATTTTAGGTAGTGAATGCTTATAAAGGTGGAAATCATCCGATAATGTCGCTACATGAACGTGTGCTAAGTGTTCTGGCCTACAAAGTTAGTATATTTTAAGCTCTTTAATTTTGTGTAACAGAAGAATATAACCAGATGAAATATATTCTTAATTTTTTTAAAGCACGAAGTTAATTCCATCGATTTAATGCACTGTGATTTTTACTGCTTATTTAGTTATTTCTTGTCTTGTGGTACAGTCTTTTCCCACGATGAAATTTCTTCCTTTTGAATTGGTTCGGTGGATTTAATCTTCATATTTTCGTGTAGAACTGTTACTAAATTTAAGACCATAAATTAAAAGATAGTGAACTTCCACCTGACAAAAAAATCACCCTAAAAAAATAAAATATGAGAAAACCACACACGTTTGAAAAGAGAGCAAAGGCAGCTTAAAAGATAAAAATGAGAACCGGCCATAATTTGCAACGATTATTCTAATTTATATGCCTATATTTTACCATCCATTTTGTATCTTATATGTTGCATGGCATTTTCAGCCCGTTTCCGAGGTAGTGATTGGTGCACCATACTTGGTAACAGATGAATTAATAAAGCGATTCAATATACAGGTATGCTTCTTTGCAGATGTCTAAGAAGTTTCCATGATTTAAAAGTAATAAGTTTTTTAAATCGATGATTTACTTTTAAATCCATGATTTAAAAGTAACAAGTTTTCAATTTTATTTTTTTCCGTGTTCTTTCCACTACTTTCTTCAAGTCGCGATGTTTTAATATTAAAAAAAAAAAATGTTTAAATGGTTTCAGTTGTTGTGAACATTTCTATTTCAGATTGTTGCAAAAGGGACACGACTTCCAGATCATCAGATGCCGGGTGAACCGGATCCATTTCGATTGCCTAGGGAAAGGAATATGCTACGACTGATTGATTCGGGTAGTAATATGTCTACTGATCAAATTATTACACGGATCATCGATCACAGGTGTACACGTCTTGCGCTTCTCCATATTTTCATATATCTGTAATAAAGTATAAATTAATTTCGAAAAAATGCCGCAACTTCACGATGCTAATGTTTGTGCTTTTAGCAGCATATCTTTGAATTGTTCACCACTTTTTTCTTATTAGAGTTTTGTAATTTGTAACGGATTAGATTACATTATATGAGAATCCAAGGAATATCATTCTTTCATAGCTCTGTAGCACTAAACATAAACTTTATAACACTAAACAGCGATAGTTTTGCATTAGTTGCATTAGTGTTTCTTTTTTTCAAGCACAGGTTTTTTGTTTATAATTTTCATATTTGTGAAGATTTTGAAATAACATAGGCTTATGTTTAGGAAATTTGCAATATTTTCAGGAATGATTACGAAAATCGGAATCGAAGAAAGGAATGTCGTGAAGCAGACATTTATAAGAAAATTAAAAGTTTTAATTTAGATACTCTTCAAGTAATTAGTATCTGATCTACACGATGTACTAGTTGTGGATGAGATATCTTTATTTCCTGACAGTTTTTCAATGTGAAATGATTGTTGCCGATCTATACAGCTGGATTCTGAAACTTGGGAAAGCGTAGTCGTTTATTTTTTTGGCACGATTCAAGATAAAGTTAAGGCCGCATGATAATTTCTGGAAGATTTAGAATTCATTGGGAATAGTTTGTTCTCGTTTTACTCGACTTCAGTTAATTAGTGAATTTTATAAATTTTAATTACATTTTGCACTATACTAATTGTGAACATATGACTTGTGTGACTTGTAAAATTTAATTTTACACAACTTCACGCCAGTATAACTTCAGATACTTCGGTAGAAAAAATTTGTCGTTCACGCCAGTATAACTTCAGATACTTCGGTAGAAAAAATTTGTCGAAGTTTTTAGAACTTAAAAAAAAACAAAAGCATTTGTCAGAAAATTAATTTATCACTATTCGGATATTGGATATTCTGTACATATTCGTATTTCTTTTTCGTTGTTAAGGCAGTGGTTTTTAATTCAGAAATCCTTTCAGTTTCTACCGATTCACCATATCTTCTTAATTCATTATAGATTTATCAATCATTCATTTTATCTCACGTGTTTCCTAGATTATATTACACTTAACGAGGTTAACATCGGAATATCTGCTATTGGAGTAAACAATTTATTTGCAAGGATCAGGCTAAATATTATATGACTGTTATAGTTATATTTCATTCGTCATCATATGATAAATGATAGAAAATTCTGCATAAATATTAACAAGAAAACTATTAATATTTGCCCTGTTATTGTCGTGCATTTAAAAAATGTATATGTGTCTTAAAAGCAACTCATTTGAATGTGAAATTTTTATAGTTTAAAATTAGGGAATTGGGCTTATTTGGAATCATTTGTTCAAGATATTTTGGAAACAGTTAGGTCAATTTCTAGATTTGCGCAGTGTCCAACAGATACAAATCACTCATTAGTAAATATTTGAAAAGATGAAATGCTTTGAA